GGTGATGATGATTAAAAGGAAAATTGCTGCGCTTTTCTAAGGTACATTATCCTTGTATAATTTAATAGGACATGTGGGAGTTGAGCTTAGCAAGCGAGGATTCAACAACATCACAGCTCAAGATGGATCCTTCTGTATGCTGGACTTGTGCCGAGAAAAAGGCGTCTATAGAAACTACATGTGTTGTTTGATTGAAAGTAACGGGAGGCTACCAATTGACGATGGTGAGTACGTTTCTTTTTAGTTGGTACGGTACTTTTTGTTTTGATGAAGAGCAAACATTTTCTGTAAAGCATACTAGGAAATGTTATTTGTAAATAAATAAATTTTGTTAAATTATGTTAATTTATATTGTTATTTTGGAATATAGTCAGCATTTAAATCTAGGCTGTGTCACGAGGTTTTCAAATGTTAGTTAGAATAATTAAAATAAAATAACGAAATTCACCCAAAGAAATCTCATCTATTTCCTACTGTTAAAGATTTGCTCCTATAATCTACAGGAGTAAAAGTGATTGTCTCATGGTGGCCAAACATCATTTTTTTTTCAATCCTGCTCAACACAGTTAAGTTTGGCATCAGCCAGATCCACTCTGTGTGGATCTGTGTAATGCTGTCATGGATCTGTGTAATGCTGTCATGGATCTGTGTAATGCTGTCATGGATCTGTGTAATGCTGTCATGGATCTGTGTAATGCTGTCATGGATCTGTGTAATGCTGTCATGGATATAAAACCAACTCCTGTTGATGTTTTTGTCGTTATTAAGCTGGGCCTTGTTAGTGAGTCTGGAAGAAAAAGAATATTTTTTTCACTACATAATTTAAAAAAGAAAAGATTTAAAGCATACAGTTTTTAATTATATCTTGTTTGTTTTTGGTTCAAGAGCCAAATTTGCTTAGGTATCGCTCTGTCTACTGTATCTTAATGCACTTCTGACTTTAATATATAAACACACTCTCATGTCCACACACCGCTGTTATCAACTGTTAATGATGACTTCACTTGTTTTCATAACGGTCCCAATGAAGAAGTTAGCTACATTGAAACTAAAATTCAAAGCTTCACTGACGTTAATGTGTTCATCTTTAACCAGGTGTCTATGACGCGGTGACAGTTTCAGGGGCGATAATGGAACACCATCTTCCTCAGTCTTGTCAAGCAGAATTTGCTCGAGTTGTCAAACCTGGCGGGTAAGTGGTCTCTTCGAAATCATTGAGTGCTGTAATCTCCGCCCAGATCTGATTGCTGTAAATAATGTTTTATACATTTTAATAAACTTTATATAAAACTAACTTACCTACTTTGTCGTTAAAATTGATTTTAATTTTACGAAAACAGTTACTATAACGTAAAGATAGATCTGCCTTGAGTTTAAGCTAAGAACTGACATCACAACACTAAGAACATTTCCCATAAACGCTACGTCTTCATCTTCAGAAGCCAGTGAAGAGTTCGTATTCTAATGGTACCAGTAGCAGTTTTATGTATGCCTGTCTGGCCGCTCCTCTGAGTGTAGTATGTCGATCAGATCCCCTGGGCTCTCCTAGCTGTACCATTCTCTCTAGGTTATAATGATCTATTCGTGTTCAGCTGCTCCCGAGGGACCTTGAACACGTGTACCTTGTCACCATTCATTGGTGAATAACCAACCAATCAGTCTGCCTGTTCATTTCCCAATTTCCCCGCATCATCCAGAGAAACCTTTCAAAGAACGCTAATTACCCGCAAAATTCTGAAACAATACTCGCCATTCTGGACGAAGCATGTCTCCCTTGACCTTTGTTAGGATACTTTGTGAGCTGGCTTCATTCAGGACACGAGGGTTCAACTCGTTAGATCTGTCTACATCGATCTGTTCTGCGTTTTATCTTCCAAAGAGAACAGGCCTTAAAGTAACGCACGTCAATCACTTTGTGAGTAAAGTAATGCATCATTCATTATCAGGCACTTAGCTTAATGGGCGTGTGGTACTAGATCTAAGAGTGTAAACTGGCGCTTGAAAGGTGATGTGGTCAAGATAGCGCCGGCCGACTTTACTTGTCTGGGAATTACCTGGTATCATAAATTTTAGACTGGGTCGACGGAGTAGCAAGATTTGAAAAAAAAAATTCCGCATCGATTAATAATGAAACCCTTACCTTTTTGCTGACAGATGAACATCTAGCCACAAAGTTACAACAATTCTAACATTTTTAGAACTGTTATAGATTGACTGGATTTTTCAGCTGAGTTTTTTACGGAATGAGTGAGCCAATCTTACACCAACCCTTTGAGTAGTCTCCTACGACTTGCATGATAGACTACAGTGCGACTTTTCTTTGTTGTCCGTGTGTGTCCTGGTAACACATGCGCGCAGCGTTTACGTACATGCAATTGTCCTCTTCAGGTAGGCTGAACGTGGTAAATACATTATTGATGAAGCCGCGTATTTTTGCAGCAGTCAAGTCACTAACGTGGGGCACTACAGTGTCTGAACCTATTCGTCCGATACTGAAAATTCCAATTATGGCCACTAAGCTTATAATATAGCCCACAAACTTTTCTGTCATCTCTGCTCCAAGTTTTTTTTTTTTTTTTAAATGTTATTTGTCATGTATTCCTTGATAAATCTTTCTGTCAATAAGTGCCACACTTTTTGATCCTTGTCATCTTCTGCAGTGCCCGCCCTGGAATCCGCATCCTATTTATACTCCTTTTCAGCTGAATTCTCTATTGCATGCTTGAGTGTGTTTAATTTCTTTTCTCCACATTTTTTTGGTTTTGCCCCCCCCCCCCTACCCCTCCACGACAGAAAGTTTCCCCCTACCCCCCCCCCTACCCCCTCCCCTCCTATTTAATCATTGAAATTGTACAGTCTTCTGATTTGGTTGGAATGCATCTCCTAGTTAACTGAATGTGCGATTCACATAAACAAAGCTAAGCTGTGGCCCTATTTATAATTTTCAAGAATATCATCCCGAGTTTTAAAAAAATATAGCATCTGATGCCCCACCCCCCCCCCCCCTTTTTTTTTCTAGCTTGGAAATGCATGAGAGTATTTGCTTCACAGACAGTTGTGACAACACCTGAGAGGGGGTGGGAGGCTGTAAGGTTTGACATCCTGAGATCAGTAGATCTCAATCTGGCGGCACACCAACACAACCTGAAGGCCCAACACCGTGGGACTAGAAAATCTCAATCTGGCAGCAGACCAACACGACCTGAAGTCTCCACACCGTGGGACTAATAAATCTCAATTTGGTGGCAGACCAACATGATCTGAAGGCTCCACACCCTTGGACTACAAAATCTTAATTTGGCAGCAGACCAACATGACTTGAAGGCTCCACACCGTGGGACTAACAAATCTCAATCTGAAGCTCGCCTGAGGGTCAGAAGGTCGTGAGTTAAGGTCCTATCGGAGTCAGACTGTTTTTTACCTTGTAAACATTACTTTGGCTCTCAGTTCTCTACGCCTTAAATAGGTAGCAGGTAAAGTCCTTGGAAGTAAAGGCAGCCTGTGTGATGCTGACCACATCACCCGCCAAATGCCGCCTGGTCTTAGTAATCTTGGCAATGTTAGTTTCAGCTTCAGAGCAAACGGGTCACCCTATAGTTGCTCCACCCCTGTGCCAACGAAAAACTTACTGAATGTTCATCACAGTCTCTTGTATAGAGATTGACAGACTCCTGTCTCAGCATATGCACTAGCATACACACACATTGAAAGCATACGGTAGCCATCCGAAGTGCTGATCCATCCGTTTTCCGTTAACATGAAATGTGTGTAATCTGGGTAAAGATTCCACAGCACGGCATTCAGAACAAGTCCATGTTAGCTTCTTCTTCTTTCTCAACACCCAGCAACGAGTCTCTATACGGATGGTACCTGTTTCGTCTAATTAAATACTCGTTTTAGCTTTCCCTCAAGTCCCGAGCGATGCACCTAGTGCGCAGACATACCCCGTTGCATCATCATCTTCTGGAACAAGTTTTTGGTATCTTCTTTTACTTGTTACCTACTCGCACAAGCGCGAGATCACATCTGCTGTTTATAGCTGCAGTACATCACTAGTGAGGCCAGTCCATCCTATCTATCTGCCTGCTCATTCCAAAACACGTCTGCATGGCCTGGGCAAAATATTCATGTGACTCTCGTCAGATGTGACCTCTGGATGGACTCGATCCATTCCATTCCAAGCATGCTTTGCTAATCGGATACTGTGACACCATGTGTGGCTAGGATTATCTCCACCCATCGAAACTCCTGGATGTACTAATGTCGTATGGCAAGCTCTCATTAGTCATTCTTCTCCCTGGGATTTTGCAATGAATTCTTAACAACTCTTTATGTCCCTGGCCATTGACCCATCAGTGTTTATAACTATATCGTCTGGTTTGGAGTTGTCCTCTATCAGGTGTTAAAACTCTGCGTCTGCGCATCCTGTCGCCCAGTCCCTACCTTCCTGTCCCAAGAAAATTATTACCACGTGAAGCTCTTTTCTGTCCTCAGGTAGGGATACTCAATCTTTACCTCTGCTGATCTCTTAAAATCGCTGACCTCTACAAAGGAATGAGGGAGCTGATATTTTCTTTACAAATCCACATCTAGTTGACACTACCATTACAACAACTAATTTGCACCAGCAGTTGCAAATGAAATTTAGACGATCCCAGATCTAATTAAAACCATCCTTTCACAGAGCTAATTGATGCTCTAACCCATATTTTAAAATGTACACCACCACAGCTACTCAAATTTACAAATTACGCTTGCCTGCACTCATGTAGTGTACTAATTATCCCTGATTGCCATTGTCCAGCAAATCAATAGGCGTGCTGGAAAGGCTACCATAACACTTTCCAGACTATCTAATAGAGTCTGGGAGAACGATAGACTCACAGGGTGAACCAACATTCAGGTGGATAAAGTCCGAGTTGGAGCACACTACTTCATGAATCGGAATCCTGAACCTTCAACTCAGGACAGGAAATGACTTTGATTCCCTCCCACATGAGATGTCTGAGACCCATCTGGGGCATCTCATGGAAAGACCAAATATAACAAACAAACAAAAAAGTGTCTGAAACAGATATTACCACAGTGCACTCTACTCAAGCAGTGACGTCCTTAGAATGGAAGATGGACGTTTTGGCAAAGATCGCCATTACGGAGAAGCAGACACAGGAAAGAAGTTAATTGGAAGACCCCACTTGCAATATAAGGATGTCTGTAGACATGAAAATTCTTAGTATAGATATCGAATCATGAAATAAAGTTGCTGCTGCCAGATCTTCTCCGAGAAAACAAATCTTTTGCTGTTTCCAGTATCAGCACAGTTTGACTGAACTAACTAAAGTCAAGGGACGCAGTCAGTTGCATCGATACGTCCCTCTTCTTACAGATGCGCAAACAGTGACAGAATACTGTCACTCTCGTATCGGACTGTATATGAAGCAGCTATATTGGCTGATTTTGCAGTGCTTTGTGGAGGAAGAAGTATGGATATGGCAGACATACTGAATGCGCTGCGTTGTAGATACTTTGAGACAAAAGAGTCAGAGACAATGAACCGCTTGTTGCAAAGACGGAAAACTGGACAGAGAAATTAGCTCCACGTGTGCCAAAGCTAATCAAGTAATGGGGCAACAATCTCCCCTGTTGACACACAAGCAGATACCTCGGAGTACTAAAGTGAATCTTATCAGAACTATTTTTTTGCCAACACTATGCTATCAATGCCAAACGTGGACACTTACATCCTCCAATCAAAGTAAAACTGTGACAACAGAGATGAAATGCCTTAGAAGAGCTGCAGGAGTTTCAAGGAAAGACAGAATCCGAAATCATGAAAGGAATAAAGCCAGTCTTACAGGTCATCAAACAACAAAAAATGAAGTGGTTTGGACACCTAACAAGAATGCCCTGGTACTATCCGCCACAGCGAGCCACACTAAAACGTTACAACGGGTATAGAGCGAGTGGAAGACCTCGGAAAAGATCGGGTGAAGGCATTAAGAACAGCCTTACATAAATGAACATTAGTCTTAATAGTGCTCTTGACAGAGCTCATCAACGAACAATACATCTCCCCCCGACACTTCGATGAGGTACAAGGTGGAAGAGAAGAAGAAGAAGAAGAAGAAGAAGAAGAAGAAGAAGAAGAAGCATGTAAAAACCGGTTGCGGGCTAAAGAACGAAGATATGCCAGTCACCTCATGTTGGGTATGTTAAATCATGGAGACAATGAGATGGCTGCTGCATCGGCGGACGGAGCACAAATGAATCTGACCGATATCCTAGGATGTCTATGTGGATAGCAAATAACAAGAAGAAGGCTATATAGTCACCACAGCTTTGACAGACGCCTGCCCAGCGGCACCACCCTATAGTCTTACAGGCTCAAGAGAGACCGGCTATACTATTACAGTGTAAAAATTATCCGTGCATGCACTACTACAGTGTGCTAACCGCCTCTGCATGACGTATGTAGTGAACAACCACCACTGTATGACGTATGTAGTGAACAGCCCCCACTGCATGACGTATGTAGTGAACAGCCACCACTGTATGACGTATGTAGTGAACAGCCACCACTGTATGACGTATGTAGTGAACAGCCACCACTGTATGACGTATGTAGTGAATAGCCACTACTGTATGACGTATGTAGTGAATAGCCACCACTGTATGACGTATGTAGTGAATAGCCACTACTGTACGACGCATGTAGTGAATAGCCACCACTGTATGACGTATGTAGTGAACAACCACCACTGTATGACGTATGTAGTGAATAGCCATCACTGTATGACGTATGTAGTGAATAGCCACCACTGTATGACGTATGTAGTGAATAGCCACCACTGTATGACGTATGTAGTGAACAACCAGCACTGTATGACGTATGTAGTGAACAACCACCACTGTATGACGTATGTAGTGAACAACCACCACTGTATGACGTATGTAGTGAATAGCCACCACTGTATGACGTATGTAGTGAACAACCACCACTGTATGACGTATGTAGTGAACAGCCACCACTGTATGACGTATGTAGTGAACAGCCACCACTGTATGACGTATGTGGTGAATAACCACCACTGTATGACGTATGTAGTGAACAGCCACCAATGTATGACGTATGTAGTGAATAGCCACCACTGTATGACGTATGTAGTGAACAGCCAAAACTGTATGACGTATGTAGTGAATAGCCACCACTGTATGACGTATGTAGTGAACAGCCACCACTTATGACGTATGTAGTGAACAGCCACAACTGTATGACGTATGTAGTGAATAGCCACCACTGTGTGACGTATGTAGTGAACAGCCAAAACTGTATGACGTATGTAGTGAATAGCCACCACTGTGTGACGTATGTAGTGAACAGCCACCACTTATGACGTATGTAATGAACAGCCACCACTGTATGACGTATGTAGTGAATAGCCACCACTGTATGACGTATGTAGTGAACAGCCACCACTGTATGACGTATGTAGTGAACAGCCACCAATGTATGACGTATGTAGTGAATAGCCACCACTGTATGACGTATGTAGTGAATAGCCATCACTGTATGACGTATTTAGTGAATAGCCACCACTGCATGACGTATGTAGTGAACAGCCACCACTGTATGACGTATGTAGTGAATAGCCACCAATGTATGACGTATGTAGTGAATAGCCACCAATGTATGACGTATGTAGTGAATAGCCATCACTGTATGACGTATGTAGTGAATAGCCACCACTGTATGACGTATGCAGTGAACAGCCACCACTGTATGACGTATGTAGCGAACAGCAGCTACTGCATGTACAACTGTACTGTCTGCCCTCACATGTATTTCCGTATTAGCTAGGCCTGTGCATTAGGACGATTGCAGCGTTGTGCTTAACAGTCTTTCAAGTGCACGACACCTGCTGACTGTGGGATGTATTGGTTAACATGGCCAGGCGTCTGCTGATGTCACAGTCACAGAGAATCTATCTCCTGGTTAACCAAAGCAGTTTATTATTAATTTATAAATAAAAAAAAAAAAAAAGGATGAAAAACAAAAACATACACATGTGATAAGAACTACTATGATACTTAAGAACGTGATCTGGTTAACCATTTCATTGAGGGAACAATCACCTTGGTAATTTTTGACTGCTTTTTTTTGGGGGGGGGGGGGGGGGGGGGGGATCTAATTAGTGGATTAGAGTTGGGGTTCTTATCTTTTAATTTAGCAAATTTTTATATTCTTATCAGATAAGTTTTAGGCAGATGGAACTATAACCTGTTTTGACCATCACTATTGTAGTCAGTGCAGAATTATTCTTTGCATTAAAAAAAAAGTCTGTGTGATGAAATATTTGTTATCCTTTAAATGGGACGTTGATTCATTCGTGATTACGGTAAAAATTTGTTTGTTTAATCTGCTAGAATTATAAATTATATGTGTATTGCAGTACATCATTTTACCCTATCTTCTTCTCCTCTGCTTTAAAAGTATGATTTCATATTATTATGTTCACTGAGTGTGTATTCATAAAAATGCCATTTTAAAATTTTAATTTCAAATAATCCATACATATGTTTTATGCAAAATGATTTCGAGAATGCTCGACCAATAGAACGGTTTTACAGTACTGGTCTACAGACTATATATTAGCGGCGGAATCACAGTGGAATTAACAACAACTTTGAGTGACCAGTTGTGACATCAGCAACCAAGTTGAGCTGCTAACCTTTACGACTAGACTTGTATTGAGAGAAACGATCCAGGCCAACATGTCGCTAGTACAACAAGACTTGTTCAACATCTACAGATGTTTGTACTCTTCAGGGGAAGGAATCCAAGAGTGTATTCAGGGTAGGTAACCTCAGGTGGTTACATTTTTACCCCTATTGATGTGTTTTATCCTTGTCCACTCTCTGATGGTCACTCAGTGCCATGTGTGTCTTTAGTAGTTCTATCGTGAACAACAGCTTTATAATTTGATTGACTGTTTCCTAACTATGTCTTGTCTTTTCATTTATAGATTTGATCCTCTAAATTGTCCCTATCAATTTGATTTTAGGAGGAAATTTTTCGTTTTTTGAAGCCCTACTCTGGCTCTTGCCAGCTTCCGCAATATAATCCGGTCATGAATATGGCCTAATCGCTGAACGAGGTTTCTGGGACCTGTCCATGGTGATCCTCGCCCACATGGTGGCACTTTGTGTCATCGGGTGTTTATCGCTTGCGTGATGTCCTGGTGGGGTAGAAAGTCAGTCAGTCCTGGCATTCTATTTTGTCAGTGGATTTCCTTCAGCAGTGCCATTAATTAATTAAATTGTTCGTTATCCTGTTGTGCCAGTATATGTCACATAGGACGTGCCTTCTATTCTTCCATTCAATAACATCTCGTGCAATCAATTCAATATCAAAGACGGAATCCAGTTCAACCCCTTTAGCCTCTCTTATCAGCGTTCGTTTTAGGGTTTCTTCTGGCCATCCTTGGGTTCTTAATTCATTTATGTCTCATTTTAGTGTCTGTTCGGTTATTCTCTGTTGATTTCTTCTCAGGATGTATCTAATACAGCGCCATCTTCTTTGTCTTATAAACTTTGCTAGAAATAGTTGTCCAGATATTTCTATTTCTTCACCCCGTTTGAATTCATCTCATTTTATGTTCGACGCTTTTCTCAGGCATTTGTTTTCAAATGCATTAAACTTTTATTTCGTGTCTTCAGTGGTTCTCCAACGTTTACTGACATTTGTTTAACTTAAAACTAGAACTGAAAGGACATAAATTGGTTTTAAAACTATACAACTTATGATCCATAATTTGTTTAGGCTATTAAAACCTGCTGAAACATTGCCAATGTTCGTCATAATTTATTTCTTTGTATTTCATTCCCTATCAAAATTGCTACCTAAATAAGTCAATTGAACTGTTACTTAAATTTTTGTGTGAGTGTGTAGTGTGTGTGTGTCTAAAATGTCACATCTGCTTGATCTGTTAGTGGTGCTTCTATATATATAGTCCCTAATATAGATTATAACACGTCCAGTCACGCCCTACAGTATGAACTGACAGATGAAATGTCTATGTTGCAGCTGATTGTATTGTCTCTTGTCCTTAACATAGATTACAACACGCCTGGCCACGCCCTACAGTACGAACTGACAGCTGAAGTGTTGCAGTACCAAGCTCCCAGATATTGTGCCGATCTGTTGGCTGGACTTTTGGTCAACGTACGAGCACATGCCAAAGTACTGGACGCGGCCGCTGGTTCAGGTAAATAATGGCAGTTTTAAGAATCATAGTGTAGACACCATATGGTTAGGTAATAGTCATTGTAATGTTCTTGAAGGTTATTAAACTTCACCATATGCATTACACACACACACACACACACACACACACACACACACACACACAAACAAACAAACAAACACACACACACAATAATAGTAATAATAACAACTGTTGGCGTGTGGGTTAACGTTTCACAACATAATAGGAAGTATTGTACTTTTTATCTTTTAGTTTCAAATAATAATTGCCTGTATGATTGAATTGCTTGGTTATGGTAAAATACATTATCCTTGCATGATTCAACAGGACATGTGGGAGTTGAGCTTAGCAAGCGAGGATTCAACAATATCACAGCACAAGATGGATCCTTCTGTATGCTGGATTTGTGCCGAGAAAAAGGCGTCTATAGAAACTACATGTGTTGTTTGATCGAAAGTGACGGAAGGCTACCAATTGACGATGGTAAGTTCATTGTTATTCAGCTGGGTTAACATTTTTTTTTTTTTTTTTTTTATTTTTTTTTTATTTTTTTTTAACAGAACCTGACAAGGTCATCATTTTGTATATGTTTTATTTACCTGCATATGGAAATCAGTAAAATAATTGGTATTTGTCTTAATAAATTTATATAATATATGGTCAAGAATGCTTCTTAAGATATAAGTTTAGCATTTTGCCCTTTTGTATCAGCGCTATTCAACTAAGTTTAACCAAGGGGCAACATTTTTTAAACGGGCATCATAACAGGCCAGATGCCTGAGCCCAAGCACAGAAAATTATTAATATAAACAACTGGCAATGGCCACTTGCTAGATCTACGCCAATCAGATTTGGCCCGCGGGCCTCCAGTTGATTAGCCCTGTTCTACACAAAGTAAACGGTTCACATTGCGACTTTGACAGCTGATGAGACAGGCAGTGACAGCGTCCATGTTTATTTGTTCGCCATTTTTGAACCACTGAAAACATGCTACTGTAGTTTGGTGTGTACATAAATGATGAGCACATTTTTTTCATCTACACACGGTTGGCATCAGGAATTGTGAAATGAACACGTAACCAAGACTGAAACTAACATACAAAACTTCACTGATTTTTATCTGTTTCCCAAAACCAGGTGTGTATGACGCTGTGACAGTTTCAGGGGCGATAATGGAACACCATCTACCCCAATCGTGTCAAGCAGAATTTGCTCGAGTTGTCAAACCTGGCGGGTAAGTGATCTCTAATTTCGTACTAGAAATGTTTGTTTTTGAGAATCATTCAATACAACATATATCTGTTTAAGCCTAAAAGACAAAACTATTTACAATCGTTTATATAGAAATTATTATAAGCAATGGTGAGACTACAAAAAATCCCTATATTCGTTCCCAAAACCGCTGCCTACGTTTAATAAGAAAACAATGTTGCACCGGTGGCTGCTTTTGATCATTAAGGTCATGTCAGTGACATTCCTGGTGTCCGCTTCAAGACTGTCAGTGGCTAAAGTATCCCTACTGGCCATGTTCAAGGGAAAGAAGGAGCGTCCTAGATCATAAACATTTGGAAATAAATGTTCTACATATACCCCCCCCCCCCCCCCCCCAATATCACTGAGCTTTTTGGCAAAATCTTTGAATAGGCTTTCCAGGATTTGTAGCTATTTGATTCTCATCTTCGAGGCGTTAATCGTGTTGGGCATTCGTAACTGTAGGGTACTATGATATAACAGTTGTTTTTTTCCAGCTGAACACGGTATCCGAGACTTGCCCCTCTTGTGGGTACATAATACCCGTCCCACTGTAGGAAGCAGTTTTTTTTTTATATTTGAAAGTCCCATTCCGGCTGTTTTCGGGGGTCCCAATATAACCCCTACGGGTTGAACGAGGTTTCTGGGACTTCTGCCTGTGTCGTCCTCATCCGAATGGTGACACTTTGTGTCACCGGGTGTTGGTCGCTCGTTGTACAGTCTTGGGTGGGGGAGGGGGGGGGGGAGGGTTCAAACAACACGCACACATTGCACATCTTTGGTCTTCAGTTTGTCTTTGATTGACTGGGTCCCATTTATATCGGCTGCAATCCTTTATATTTAAAAAACAAAAACAAATATTCCAAAGGCTGCTGTACGCTGAATCAGTGCGCTACTTGAAAAAGTACTTGAGGGTTTTGCGAACTACCATTCACATCACCACAAGGGGAAAAACACCAACTGCACTTCCACGTTGGTACAGTACACTGCTGTGTGGCTAAAGCAGCTCTAGCACTTGAGTATCCACTGACATAAATGGACACCTGTGTCTGTGGTGCATTCAACAGTGAACAGCTCAATCAATTGCCCCTGCAGTCTACAAGCTTTTTTAAGGCTAAGGACATAGTCTTATTGCCCGTGGGTGTGGAAGAGAAGAGAAAACTACCACATTACTAAACCAAGAAATGTATTATGGAAGCCAATGTATTTAAAACAAGACAGCACATAACCTGGTGCCAGGCAAGAAGGTAGGACCGACCGACACGAAGATAAAGCAGGGAAAGAAAGAACAAGAAGTGGGAGAGCTGGCGAGAGACTGAGTTTCTTTCAGGCAGGTTGTAAAAGTGCCGCATTCTGTAAAAGACCTGTAAACGACGATGAGGTTTAAACTGTAAGAACCTCTGATCAAAATACCAATTGCCTAAATAATATACTGATATATATCCCACTGGAGATATGTTTGAGCTTACAACAGTTAACCCAAGATGTTTCATGTATACATGACATTTTGCAGGTACATCATTACAGCCTACGACAGCGACATCCTCGACTCAGACTACGGCCGACTCTGGGAGAAAGAGACGCGGCGACTACTGGAAGATGGCGTCTGCTCTCTCTACGCAAAAGTTATCGTTCCTAATTATTTGAAAGACAAAAAAGGAGTCATCAACATTTTACAAGTGTTGTAATCTCCGCCAGATCTGATTGCTGTAAATAATGTTTTATAACTTTTAAATAAATATTTATATAATAATAATTGACCTACATTGTCGTTAAAAGTGCTTTTATTGTCATGACAACAGGTATTCAAATTTGAATGTAGGTCTGTCTATGTCGACCTATCAGCCTTCCATCTGAAAAAAAAACAAAAACAAATAATAAGTTTTAGCAAATAACCCCCCCCCCCCCCCCCACAACCTCTTTTAAAAATAAATAAATAAAGATCTGCCATAAACTGACAGGATTTTCCATTTAACGTTTCCAACGAAATTATTAGACAGGCTCACAGCAACCCTCACTAGTCGCCTATTATGACATGTATGACAGATTGTAGGGTGACTTTTCTTTGCTGTTTTTATGAGTCCTGGTAACGGGTTCGCTGTCTGTTTATGTTCACTTTACTGTCCTCCTGTTTATGTTCACGTTACTGTCCTCTTCGTGCTGACTAAACACGGTACACAAGTAAACAGTTGGTGTGCAGGTGGGTTAATCAAGTCACTACCATGGGACTTCCATGGTTAGAACCCACATTTCTGATATTTCACATTAAATCTTCACTACTGGGTTAATAATACCGCCCACTAACCTTTCTGACTTCCTGCTCCAGGCAGTCTGTGCCAGTTGCCATACATTCCTCGATGTAGTAAAAGCGCTCAGTTATGTTCCCCGCCGACTCTAGTAGAAGAACGTTCTCGTTATGTTATAATTTTTTTTTTTCTAAGTATATCTTTGACGGTCGGGATTTTCTGTTCTGTATATGGTAAACAATATTTACAGCTTAACAGGAGTTCAGGGGAGAGAGGTCAAATTTATAGCCCCTGATTTTATCGCAAATGACTCAGTCTCTCCCCCCTTCTCTCTCTCTCTCTCTCTCTCTCTCTCTCTCTCTCTCTCTCTCTCTCTATCTATCTATCTATCTATCTATCTCTTTCTCTCTCTCAACAAAGACGGTTGCACAAAGCACAAACTCTGCAGCTCTAGCTACATTAGATCCGCAGGATAGTCAAAACACTGATTGCCGCGAACCCAAATACACTATCTACCGGATGTTGCTGCAGTTGATGCCTGTCCTACTGAAAAGAGTATCACATCTACAATGTGAGGTAATATGCCTGCCCTACCGAAGAGAGTATCACATCTACAATGTGAGGTAATATGCATGCCCTACCGAAGAGAGTATCACATCTACAATGTGAGGTAATATGCCTGCCCTACCGAAGAGAGTATCACATCTACAATGTGAGATAATATGCCTGCCCTACCGAAGAGAGTATCATCTATCTACTCAACAATGCACAAAGCACAAAACTCTGCAGCTCTAGCTACATCAATGTATCACATCTACAATGTGAGGTAATATGCCTGCCCTACCGAAGAGAGTATCACATCTACAATGTGAGGTAATATGCCTGCCCTACCGAAGAGAGTATCACATCTACAATGTGAGGTAATATGCCTGCCCTACCGTATCACATCTACAAGACCGAAGAAAGAGTATCTACATCTACTACCGAATGTGAGGTAATATGCCTACCGAAGAAAGCCCAATGTGAGGTAATACCTGCCCCTGCAGAAGGGGTGATCACACAACTACAGTGATAAGGACATCTGACTAAGGACTTCACACTACTACATTGGTGAGGACATCTGACTACGGACATCGCACAACTACAGTGACGACTACGTCGAAATAAAAACATAACACAACTAAGGACGAGGACACACACAACTACAGTGACGAGGACATCACACAACTACAGTGACGACGTCATCACACAACTACAGTGACGAGGACATCACACAACTACTGCGAGGAGGATATCATACAACTATAAAAAACCAGGAAGAAGTTTACAATAAAAGATAAATCACCTCAATCAAAGTCAAGATTAAGCAAGCGCATTATACAATCTGGACACTTTTAGGTGTTTACCCTTTTGAAAATAGACGGAATAATAAACACAATATTGCTGATTCTTTAATCTCCATTGATTTTTCACTGACCCAAGACATGCTACGGTATTAAATGTTTTTGTGCTCTGTTTAATCTTAGCATATCTTTGTGTTTACTTTTATATATATCTTATATTCTTCTGCAGACACGGGGTTTTTCTTATTGGTCTGGAAAAAAAATGCTACCGAAGTATTACTTTTATATGTTTACACATAGACGACCCACCGTACTGTCGATTTCTAGTTTACCATTGAAAGCGTTCTGTAAAGGTTTCAGTAATTTCAAAAGGGAATGAAAACTATTTAATACGATTAACAGCTAAAAAAAAAAAAAAAAAAAGAAGAAGGGGGGAAGTGAGAGACACAAACTAAGAGTAAAGTAATGGTGCCATGAATGCGTGCAGCAAAACTAAAAAGACAGAATGAGGGATCCCAACTTAAGAAAAGCATAATAAGAATAAACTCACAGGGAGCAAGTACAGCGGGGATCTACAGTCATCAGTAGAAATTATCCTCTTTCGACACACGTTTCGGCCCACGATTCCTAAACGTATTCGGAGGTGGGCCCACCTGAGTTCATGAAGCTCAGGGCTGCTTCCCCGCTGCACAGATTACCGGATGGTGTTATTATTTCGGCCAGAGACAAGACGACTTAGTGGTTTCGAAGGAGGTACTGTGAGATAAGAAGCCGCCGCGACAGCTTAATTAGAACAGTCAGCGTGCCTGGACGACCGAGCGACAAGCTTACTTTTGGTTACCGGACACATGTTGGACTTTTATTAGCAGTTGGCAGAGGAACACTGGCAGACAATTCGTACACGATGGACTTTCAAAGGGGATAAGAAACTCTTTTCCACTAGATACCCGGACCAGCTCACCGAGGCCCGTCCCCTACGTTGTTGCGCTGCGTCCACAGCCAGCTAGAGGCCCTTTCGGCTGCCTCTCCCAGTTTTTTAAGTGTTCGTTTCCGTTCATTACCGCGCAATCCTAATTCTTTAACCACATTGTAGAGCGAAGTGGAAACGAGGCCTCTCGCTCCCACTTCGACGGCAAAAACCCTTACTGTGTAAGCCTCGTTTCTCCTCAAACCGGCTGCTAAATCACTGTACTTTTCGAGCTTGTACAAGTGATTCTCCTCCATACGCGACTCAAACGGGACCGTCAACTCAATCAGGATGAGCTGCCGTTTTTGCGCAGAATGGAGAACGATGTCCGGTCGCAGGCCGGTTTTACGGATCAACTCGGGATACCGTTCATGGCCTGGCAGATCAACCGCCAGTAACCAGTCCCTCGCAGAGTCTAGCACCGATGGAGCGAATGCGTTTGGTTGACCTTACCTTTTGGAACCTGCCCAGCCTTGAGGAAACGAATGGGGGCGATACTAGAACTGGCTCTGGCATTAGCCCTCATTCTAGCCTGGTCGACAACGGCTGCTAACTCCTTTAGCACCTTGTTGTGGCGCCAGGTGTATCGGCCTTGACCTAGAGCTTTCCTGCACGCGGACAGGACGTGCTCAAGAGTTTGCTTTGATTTGCACAACGGGCAAGTCGGATCGTTGGTCGCAGACCATTTAACCATGTTAACACCGGACGGTAATACATCGTACGCCGAACGAACGATAAAGCTCAGTCGCAGCGGGGTCATCCGCCAGATCTCACCCCATGTGAGTATTCTCGGCAATGCGCTCTCCAGGCTGACCCAATGGCCCTGCTGCGACTGCTGGGCTGCTTTCTGGACCCGAACCTCGTTTTCGTTGTCCCTCACCGTTTGTATCACCATGTCTCGGCGTTCTTTGGCTGAGGCCTTGACCACCAATTGACCTTCCCGTGCCCTAGGCCTCGACGGTCGGTTTGTGTGTAACCATAATCTCCTTCAATTTTAGTGCGTTCTGAGCAGATTCTATCGCATCGAGGACTCTCCACTTGGTTCCAGTCTTTAGAGCGGGCTGGACAGCGATGACATTTGGGTCTGAAGACTCACGCAAGAGCATGGCGAGCCTTACCTTGCCGACTTTAAACTCTTCGGTTATCGACTTGAACGGAAGTACCAGCTTAGCCTGTTTGCAATACAGAGCCACGTCGGTCAGACAAGGCGGTGCTCCAATCCACTTTCTTAAGGCTGTATTGATTTTCTTTTCCATGGGCTTCAACTGCAGTCATCGTCACCTCGTAGACTAACAGTGGCCATAGGAGCTTCGGAATCAACATGAATTGGAGACACCATACCTTGAATTTTCCGACCAGCCTGCATCGCTCGATCGCGAGCAGGCCTGTAGCCAGTGACTCATGTATTCGCCGGACTTCCGCTCTGTCAGATAACTTCGAATCGTAAACGCGACCGAGACTCTTCACCGGTTCCTCCAGAACCGTAGGGATCTTGTTCCTTGACACCGTAAAACTGATCGCCGACACTTTGCCATTATGGATTGACAGACTCCTCGACTTCTGCGGTTATATATTATTTTATTAGGCTGCGGATCAGAAGGTTGTGGGTTCGGTTTTCTAAAATGACCTTGGCTTCCAGGTAAAGTAAAGGCGGCCGGCGTGATGCTGACCACTTCACCCACCAGGTGCCGTTTGGTCTATAAAATATAAATCTAGCCCTTTATACCCAATACACCTTAAAGGCGTATACTTTACTTTACTTATATATTATATAAACTGTAAAATGAGACGTTTAGAGAAATGCTGGAGTCAGTAGATGAGACCATGTGAGAAATAAAAAGGTTAGAACTGCTGGAACAATATCATTTGTGAAATTCACCAAGAAGCAAGGTCTGAAATGTTTTGGTCACTTGAAGAGAGTGACAGCACACATGCTGCTGGAACAGTATCATTAGTCAAATTAATCAAGAAACAAGGTCTGAAATTGTTCGGCCATTTAATGAAATTGAATCCAACTATGCCGACAAGGAGAGCGTGCAACATAAAAATGGAAACACCAAAAGGCAAAGGGAGACCTAAATAAAGATGGATCGAGGGAGTTACTGACTACCTAAGACTACACAACAACACAA